TAAGCCACCGGGTCTGGGGCTCAAACTACAGTTGAGTACATGGGAGTTCAGTGAGAGCCATTACACCAACTGCTGGTCCCTGAAATATTTTCTGGAATCACTATGATTAATGATCCACTGATAGTAACTTCTCTGATATTTCTAGGTCAGATCAGCTTCTTTGCCTCTCAAGGGGAGACAGACTTTTATCCTGAGAAAGTGACCAGTGTATTCTGATGAGGGCACCCAGGTTGGACACCTAACTCGGACCAGGTCTGGGGACGTGCCTCCTGGAGGAGGTGACGTTGACCTCTAGCTCAGATCTGGAGAATGAGTAAAGTTAGACAGGACAGAGTGTGAAGGAAGGCATGGGAAATAAGAGCGGGGCAACGAAAGAGGCTACTCCGTGGGAGCTGAAAGAAGCTCCGTCTGCCTGGCTGAGTGTCGAGTCCTTGCTGTCTCTGCCAGAAGTGGGATATGTGATGACATGCGTCTTCTCCATTTTAACTCTTCATAGAAAGGCCCCGCTGCCTTCCCTTTCTAGTAGCATTTGAATAGAATTTGTTTGCAGACCCTTAACATCTTTTTTTTTTTTTTTTCTTTTCCTCTATCTAGAATAGGTATATTTACGGAACAGAGCCGGAGCAGGGTTTTTCCCCCTGCGGACATTGGTCCATTTTATTAACTGTTCTCCATAGTCTGCACTTATACTATAGCCATCGCTGCCTCCTCCTTACCCTTTTTGTAAACTAGTAAGAAAACTGGAAAATTGATTTTGGGTGGGATTTGTTTGCATTTTTCTCCAAAAACATTTACTTTGGCTTGGTTTAGATGTTCAGAATGGGTTCATAAGGTAATAAAGGGACCCTTCATTTCTGCTTAGTTTAGAAAGAATGGAGAGGAAAATATTAAGGCTGGGAGTTCCGAGATAGAAAGAGCACCCAGGAGGGCATGTGCTACAAAACAGATGCCAGGTGGATGGGCCAGGCACACGCAGGTGCTGCGTTCACAGGGGCAGAGCACGTTGGAGTAGGGGAGGTGAGCAGAGTGAGTGACGGCTGCCAGGGGAGGGTCTGTAAGCCGATGGTGGGAACCGAGCTTCTGAGAAGATAGCAGGCGTCCACGGGAGGCAGGAGCCGAGATGTACAGTCTCGTACAGTCTCTTACTGTGCTTTGCCAGCTGAGGCTTCGCTACGCAGTTCTATAATCCTGATCAGAACAGAAAACCTTAGTAAACCTACTCATTTTGGTTTCTAGGCCAGAGATATTGCTGCTTATCTCCTTGTTTCTTCTTGCTTGCTTAGTTTGCCGGACGGTACATGTGCTTGCCAGAGAGGGCGAGGGAGAGTGGAGCATGGTCACACCATGATCCCCAACTCAGTTTCTTCATCCTGTCAGAACGTTGGGCACACACACCCAGCATGTTTTCCAAGCTCCTGGAGGCTAAGATCCAAACCGTGGTCAGTTATGCAGAACCCCGCTCACCCTAACCATCAGGCTACAGGGCCTGCTCTCTTTCCATTCAGCCTTGTTCATGGTGGAGCACATGAGTGCACATATGAGGGTGAGAGAGCAGAGGAAGTGAGCACCTGTTCACATCGCAGTCCCTTCCTCCAGCCCTCCAGCCCCGCGGGTCTTTACTCACGTGTATGTCTGGTGTGTTTCAGGCTGACTGGGCTGGGCTTCAAACCGCAGTTGCCATGTGGGATCCGGCTTCTCTTGGGCAGCATTTTATTGCGCTTTGGAACTAGCTAGCCCTACTTTTTCTTGCTTGTAAATCACATAGAAGATCTTAGGAGTAGTTTACAAAGAGAGAGAGAGAGAGACAGATGAGGCCGGGAAAAAAGACCTACCCCAGGGGCTGAGCTATTGAAAGAAAACAGGTAGTTTATGTTTGGAGCAAGAGTTGTAAAAATGCCACTCACAAACTTATGAGGAGACTCTGCTTTTAGCACGTGAATAGCTGTAGCAGTATTTTTCTGCAGTTAGTGAAGGAGGTCATTGAGAAGAATGGTTCATTTTTACCCATTTTTTGTTGTTGGAAATACGTGCTGACTGTAACATCTCTTGATATTTTTAAGTAACTTTTTTCTTTTTTTAAAAAACCAAAATTATGGGGACCAGCAGGTGGCGTGGTGGTTAAGGCGCTGGACGCTCCCACATGGCCAACCAGGGTTCAAGTCCTGGACCTGGTGGCTTGCTTTCTCACTTCCTCTCTCTCTCACTCTCACCCTCTGTCTCTCTCTGGTCAAATTAAAAAATCAATGAATAAATAAATAAATAAAATAAATAATTAGTTTAAAAAATTATGTAACTTTTTCAGGGTTATTAACTTTCAAAGTTTGGCAAAGATTCCTCTATATTATAGAGCTCTGTTACTTGAAAGAGGGAAAGTCAAAAGCGGTACTAGACAAGCCATTAGGGGAGCTTCCTTCAGGATATGAGAGAAACGGGTAAACTAAGACCCTCAGTGCTACATCACAGTGATCTTATTATCAGACCTAGCTTTTCCTTATAAATGTTTTGTAATATCCTTTGCACCATTCTGAAGTTAGGTTCATAGTAATATAACTTCACATATACAATTCCAAAAATAACACATGCTTCCTCGCTTTAATATAAAAGAAAAATGAAAAGAAGGTAATATATAATCTTCATAAGCGCTTATTCCTACTACACTGGAAACTTCGGGAAGAAGTGTAAATGCAAGAGCTCCCAGTGTATACCACATAGCTGTGTTGTATTGATAGCTCAGATACAATCCTGTGAGTTACCACTGTGCTAGTGATCTGAGTTTTCAAAATGAATAACTTGATTAAAAGTATGTCACGGGACCAGCAATTGGCGTAATGGCTATGTCACTGCACTCCCATGTAGAACCACGATTTGGGTCCCAGACCCAGTGACTTAAACTCACGCTGGGCGCATGTACGTGCGTGCCCAAGATCCTGAGAGGGAAATGGAGGAGAAGGGATTGTGGCATGGCCATGCCCCTGGGGGGTGATTTCTCACTTTCTGTCTCTCTGTCTCTCTTTGTCTTTTTGGCGAGTGCACTGCCCTATAGCAAAAACCTCTAAAAAAAAAATTATGTTTCTATTTTTATTTACAGGGCAAGTACAATACTGAAATTTCAAGTTTTTGTTTTTGTTTTTGAGAGGTTTTTGCTATAGGGCGCGTGCGCTCGCCAGACAGACAGAGAGAGACATAGAGACAGAAAGCGAGAAATCACCCCCCAGGGGGGATGGTCACGCTGCAGTCCCTTCTCCTCCATTCTCCTCTCGGGATCTTGGGCACGCACACACACGCGCCTGGTGTGAGTTTAAGCCACCGGGTCCGGGACGCGAACCACGGTCGACTACGTGGGAGTCCAGTGACATAGCCATTATGCTAACAGCTGGTTCCCGAAATTTCAGTTTTTTTAAAAACTGGGCAGAAGGTGCTTTCTCTGTATTTGTAAAATTATGGCCAGACATTTCTAGACATTTTCACAGAGATCTGAAATACCTTCTGGGGGCTGCAGTGCCCTCCCCAGTTTGAGAGCCTCTGCTGAAGAGAAGTACCTCTCTATTAAGGCAGTAGTACTGGCCAGTTGAGGAAGGTTTTTAAAGTTTCTTCGGTAGCTCTGGGTCTGTTTAAGCTGTTTACTTTCCCTCTGTGAGTCCTTCGGAGCCAACCACGGCTCTGTGAGCCTACTCACAGCCACTGATGGGACACTGCCCTGTGGGATGGTGCTGCTCCTGGTGAGGAGCTCTAGGGAGCCAGAATAAAACATTGGTGAATATTTGAGGAATATATTTTCTGTATTTTTAGTCGTCATGTAAGACAATTGGCTGTTTAAGCAAAAATAGTAACAACGTACCATGTTGTTTCTAACCAGTTTAAGAATAAAATGTGTGACACTAGCAGCACAAAACTTGGCTGGGGAAGTGGAGGTACACACTCACCAGGCTCTTAGGGTACACACAGGGGAGTCATTTCACATAGAGACTGGCTGTGGCAAATTTTAAAATGCGTTGGAAATTCTAACGCAAGCTTTGAAAAGTTAACAAAGGATACAGCTAATAAGACGGTAAAGCAGGTGACAATGGGATCATACAGAACTCCGTCTGAAGAAGTCAGAGGAAGGGGAGACATGACCCCCGTGATTCCTGTAACGAGGTCAGGTACGAGTGAGCTGATGGCTTGTACTGCCCGCCCCCAGAGCGCTGAGTGCACAGGGGCCCGTGTGCCCTTGGAGTCAGAGCAGGTGCCCGTTCAGAATGCAGCACTCGCGCTTGCACACTGGCAGGCTCCTGCCGGGACGCGAGCCGCTTGGCCCCCTCCGCACCTGTCTCCTGCTCTGCAGCCCCCACGTGCACGCAGGACCGGCGCTGTTCCTTCTCCGTTCCTTCTCCCTCGCACTTCAGGTGACAACGGTCTGCTTTGACTTTGACACTAACTTCTTCATTTTTTTTTAAGAATTATTTTATTAAACCTTATTTATGTATTTATTTATTTTTAATTTGACCAGAGAGGAACAGAGTGAGAGAGAGAGAAAGTGAGAAAGCAAGCTGCCAGGTCCAGGACTCGAACCACGGTCAACTATGTGGGAGTCCAGGGCCCCCAACCATGCCACCCACCAGCCCCTTTGACACTAACTTCTTTTTTTTTTCTTTTTTAGTGGGGGAGAGGTTTTTACTATAGGGCATGTGCACTCACCAGAAAGATATACAGAAAGTGGGAAATCACGCCCAGGGGGGATGGCCACGCCGTAATCCTTTCTCCATTCTCCTCTCGGGATCTTGGGCACGCACGCACACGTGCCCGGCATGAGTTTAAGCCACCTGGTCCAGGACTCAACCACGGTCTACTACATGGGAGTCCGGTGACATAGCCATTACTCTAACTGCTGGTCCCCCTTTGACACTAACTTCTGTACTTGCCAATCCAGAATGTTACGTGCTAAAGTGGGATGAATTGATCTCTGATTTTTTTTTCAGTGATGTTTGAATACATTTTACCTTTTCTTCCCCTGAATTCAGAGACATGAAAAATGCTGTAATTGGAAACAACAAACAGAAAGCCAACCTCATTGTTTTAGGAGCTGTTCCAAGGTAAGTCTGCTTTCAGCCCCTTTTCTGCTATTTCTAAGTTTAGAGTGTGTGTGTGTGTGTGTGTGTGTGTGTGTGTGTGTTTTCTTTTAAGAGAGGATTCGCTATAGGGCACGTGTGCTCACCAGAGAGAGAGGCAGACAGAAAATGAGAAATCACCACCCAGGGCAATGGCCACACTGCAATCCCTCTCCTCCAGTCTCCTCTTGGGGTTTTAGGCATGCGCGCACACGTTTTAAACTGCCAGGCCTGGGACTTGAACCGAGGTCAACTGTGTGAGAGCCCAGTGACCTAACCATTGCACCTTCTACTGGGCCCTGTAATGTTTTTCACCCTTGGTCATAAAGCCCTCTTTTCCCCTGTATTATACAGACTGTGTTTTTCCTTTATTTTTTTAGCTTTTGCCATGGAGTACATGCACTCACCGGGGAGTAAGACAGGATGAGGTGGGATGAGGAGAGTGAGAAGTCACTCCCCCGTGGGATGGCCACACTGCAGTCCCTTCTCTCAGAACTTTGGGACTCATGCACACACTCCCAGAATGTTCCTTAAGCCTAGGCCCCAGGCTCAACTGCAGTCAGCCATAGGAGATGCAGCTGCCCTAACTACATGCCACTGGCTGGCTCTCCTGTTTTTAAGATAAATTCTATTTTTTAAATAAATAATTGGAGATATATAAGCTATCTCTAAGAAAAATAGAATATAAAGTGCCAGAGAATGGAATGAAAAGTCAATGTATTAATCATTTTTGAAAACTCAGTAAGATAATTGACTCTGAATCAAAGATTTTGTTGGATGCTAAACACTGTACATCAGCCTGGTACTTTCTTCCTTGTCTCCTTAGCACACTGGCAGTTTTGTGTGATGGATAATTTATTAGGATTCTGAAGACCATTTTGAATTTAAAGAAAAATCTTTGTTTTTTAGTACTGCTTTTTAAAAATTTTGCTGATTTTTAGAATTTGCGTTTATTTTTTTTTAAAGTTAACATAGCAGTTCAGTTCTTTTTTCTGATGACTTGATAAACTTAATTTTGTCAGGCAACAAGAGTTATTTAACTTTGTCTATAAAGGCCTTTCTTCTGAATTCAGTTTTCTGTGCAATTACGTTTTACATTCAGATTTCGAAAAGCTTTTTAGTTTTTTTTCTCTTTTTTGTTTCCTATCTTTTGATACAGGGTTAATCGTTTTAATGCTTTTTTATAGGACTTGGACCCACAGCTTAAGTGTGCCAGGCATGTGTGCGTGCGTGTGCGTACCCATGCATATGCATACCCCTAACCCTGAAAGGAGCGTGGGGAGAGGTTATTGTGGAGTGGCCACCCTCCGAGGGGAGCGCTCTCTCACTCTGCCTCTCTTTCC